GGGTACAGTTTCACGAGTGTACAAGAAGTGCCCGTGCCCCACTACTAGACCGACTTCTTGGCCCCAGCGCCTCAGCGCGCCAGCCGAAGCGAACTCGCGTGTGTGTGTGTGTGGGCGGGTGTATGTGTGGGTGTGGGCGTGTGTGTGTGTGTGTGTGTGTGTGTGTGTGAAAGAGATACTGAGTTTACAGATGCACCTGCAAGGAGCAAGAGGAAGAAGCGGCAGCTCGGCCCAGCATATTCCCACCACCCTTCTCCGCACCCCTGTCACCTGCGCCATGCGCCTCGTTCGAGCAGGAGGAAGATGGGAGCAGCAGCAACCCTTCCGGTTGGCCGCACACTTCCGCCTGGCCCCACCTCGTGCCTCTCTCCATACAACCTGCAGGAGGTTCTCCTCCTACAGCTCTGCGAGTCTTCGGCTGCAGCCCACCCTACCGCGGTGCACAGCCTCAGCCCCGGCCTCAGCCTCCCCGCCGTGTTCCATAAATATCACATAAATTCATCCGCTCCGGCTGCGGCACGTCCAGAGTTTTATATAAGACTGAGCGTAAAAAAAAGTGCGCGCGTGTATGAGTGTGTCTGGCGGTGCACTGCGTCTTTGTGTTGGCGAGTGTGATGGAGAATAATGTATTCGGGGGGGGGTGAAGGCAGCGAGTGTGGTAAGGCGAGGCGAGCACCTGCCTCTGTGTTTCAGAAGCAGAAGAGTTTTCTGGTCTTGTCCACGCTTGTCCATCCACACGCACGCACACGCACAACCGTACAGCTTATGTTCACTGCAGCACACGTATTGTACCAAAAGAGAGAGGGAGAAGAGTAGGTAGATAGACAGATAGATAGATAGATAGATAGATAGATAGATAGATAGATAGATAGATAGAGGCACAATCGCCAATACTACAAGCAGGGGGAGCCGAGCACGCCCGCCCCCTGCAGCCAGATTTGCTTATAGTATCCACTCGAAGGGCACGGCGCCCGCGGCGGTGCGGCGTGACTTCTTCGCCGAGCTGCTGCCTCTGCTCTGCATCCGGCGTATATAGGCTCGAGCGGGAAGAAGCAGCACATATGGCAGACTGGCTGCTGGCAGGAGGAATCGATACTTTTTTTTTTTTGCGGTGTTTATCGGCCAGCATCCCCTTCTCGGCGCCTCGCTCGGCCCGTCACGCGCGCGTCCTTCCGGCCCGTGACCTTGGCGCGCGGTTGGCGCCCCCGGCCTGGGCCCCGGCGCGCCCACACACCACGAGGCGCGGCGCAGCGCACACGTTCGTCAGGTGAGGACGGCCCGGCCCAGCCCGGCCCGCCACCGACTATTGGTCGGAGGCTGTTAGCAATGAATCCTGCTCCCCTGACACGTCTCGGCCCCAGCAGCGCCCACCCGGTATTACGTTCTCGAGAGCAGGGAGGAGGAGCAACACACCTCACCACGGCCCGGCGGCAGACCGACAGAATGAACCAGCGCCGGGTTTGTTTTGCAACCATACGATACGGCTACATTACATCCTCGTCTGCTCAAAACAGAAGCTGAAAGAAAGCCATATCTTTGTGGCACCTGGGCGTTCACAGCAGCGGCCCGCTGCGGCCCCACGAGCAGCCCAATGACACTGTTCCAGGCACACAGCGACGCGCCGCCACGCTCGTCTGATTTACCGTTAGGGCGTATTTATTAATTTGGTGGCGGCCGTTGCATGTGACGCGGCCGTGCTATATAGGCCGCCATGGTGGGGCGACGCGTGGCAGGGCGTGGCGGGGCCTGGGGTGGCGGGGCGTGGCGTGGCGTGGCGTGGCGTGGCGGGGCGTGGCGGGGCGTGGCGGGGCGTGGTAGGGCGTAGCGACGCGTCGCAGGGCGTGGGGAGCGTGGCAGGGCGGGGCAGGGCGGGGCGTGGCGGGGGTGACAAACGCGCACAGGGAGGGCTGGAGGCACAACACGTGCCCTATGTCGCGATGCTGTTCAGGCTAATACGACCCCCCCCCCTTTCCTCCCCTTCCCACCGCCAGGCTCGAACCCCCCGTCGTGATCATCAGCTGCTGGATTTATACCCGCAGCGGGCGAACCCAGAGGGCTACGTGGAAGCGCTATCGCAAAAGCGTGTGAAAAATGAGCTCATGGCCGCGAGCTGAATGTAAATTTGAGAGGCAGCGAAGGAATGCAACAGTACACAAAACAGTTAAAAAACGCCGATTTCTTCCGAAAAAAAAAGAAGTTGGATGGATTATAAATAAAGTTACTACAATACAATCGAGCATCGGTCGCGCGAGATGCCTATTTAATTGAACGGGGAGCTCGTTAAGCACAGCTGGAAGCAGGAAGTGATACTTCGACACCACTAGGCTACACCTGCCACTGCTTGGGGGCTTGCCGGGAGATACTGTAGCGCGTTTTCAAAGAGAAGCCTAAGCCAAGCCGAGAGCACATCAGCGCGTATGTGCTTTGCCCTGCTACTCTGCAATGTGTATGTACTGAGCAGCGCGGTGAGTATGTGCGTGACAGAGAGAGAGAGAGAGAGAGAGAGAGAGAGAGAGAGAGAGAGAGAGAGAGAGAGAGAGAGAGAGAGAGGCCCTGACGCTGCCTTAGTTAGGCCCTATCCGCAGCCATCCGCCTGCCTCGCCTTGAGGGAGCGGGGGGCGCAGGGGGCGCATACCAGAGACCCGACCCCGCCACGCGGTGCCACGCCACGCCACCGCCCGACACGTCTTGCTCGCACGCGGGGCTGACACCACAACCCGCTACCCTCGCTATATTCCTCATTCTTACGCCCCTGCCCCACCCAACCCACGATCCCTTCTCTTCTGTCTCACTCTGTCTCTCTCTCTCTGTCTCTCTCATAGGACTCCTCGGTGCGCTCTGCCCGCCCCGCCGCTCCAAAAGCCTTCCTGACAGCAGTGCTGCTCCTCTGGCCCGACAGTAATCCTGCTGCTAATAAAACATTTTGCTTCTGCTCTCGTAGCTGCGCCCTGCGCCACACTGCGCCAGGCCGCGCCACGCCGCTCTGCCCCCGCGGCGGTCAGCGGTCAGCCCCTTGCTGCCTGAGCCCTGGGCCTGGGCAGCTCTGGCGAGGTGGTGCGAGAGGGGATTATTCACGGGTTTTTACTGTCCTTTTGACTTTCCTCGGCCGACGCGCCGGCGGAGGGGTTTTAAAGATATGCCGTGTTAGCAGCACTGAGGGTACGTAATGAAGCTGTGTAAAGCCGCGCCTGACAAGAAGGGGAGAGGGAGAAGGAGACGGAGGAAAGGAGATGTAAAGAGAGGGGCCGGCAAGCCACGTCAGAACAAGAAAACATTACCAACTTGCCGCGGAGGATTTCAAAAGCCATGTAGCGTAGCCCTCGCATAGGCCTACCGTCGGTAATACTTTTCATAAAGTAGCCAGCCCAGCCGCCGAGACCCCCGAAGCATCCTTTGCAGTAACGCGCGTTTCAGAAGTAGTACTACATTATGGTGAAAAGTTGTCGCGCCAGCCTCCTCGGTGGGTTTTAATCTCGTTGCCAATCTCTTTGCGGCTGGTTGCCAATGCGGCTAGGCCAGCGGAACTCGCCCCGCCTTACGACACGCCGCTAACAAACGTCCACCGAAAAAACAAAGATGTGATATCGAGGAGTGTCAAAATTGTTTTAGGGGTGTTAAAGTATATCCAGTCTCTTCAAAACGTTTTGTGGATGTTGACAGAAATCCGTAAGCTATTAATTAAGGAGTTCACAAGATTTCAGTGCGTACACGACAGATTAACCACGCGACATCGAATTTTCTTCACCGACTTTACAACCCTCACCTCACCTAAGGGGGGGGGGGGGGGGGGGGTAGAAGTCGAAGCAGGAGAGAGTCAGCTTTGCGGTGGCCGGGGCTGTGGCGGGGTCACTACTCCCCACTACTCAGGCTTTGCTGGTTTTATCTGACTAACCTCTAGAATGCATAGCCGCACTAAACGTAAGAAGTGATTATGCAGAAAGAGAAAGTTCGTCCTTACGAATAAGAGCTCAACGGTAGTTCCAGTTTTATTTTTACTTTTCTTGTGACGCGATGCAAGTTGTAGAAGCAAGAGTGGAACGTACAGTAAATTCGCTCGCAATGATGTCCTTCTGCTTTGTTAGCGAGAACTAAAAGAAGACTTTCAACAGCGGCGGACATTGCGAGAGCAAGAGAGACGGGAGGAAAAGGGGGGGGGGGGTCCACGAGGGCAGCAGCACAACGACAGACGAGGGAGGGGGCTGATCTCAGGAGAAAGGAGGGACAGAAAGCGAAAAGAGAAGGGAGGGGCGTGAGGATAGTAACGGAGAGACGACTATGGTTTGATAAAGGGGAGATGGGGAGAAAGAGGGACATACAAAAAAAAGCGGAAAAGAGACGAAGAGACCTCAGACAGAGGCGGTGGCGCTGCTAAGAAGCCTGCCACCGCCGGGCAGCTGGCGGCCTCCGCCCTCCGCTTTGCCCTATGAGGACGACGGTTCGACGCTGCTGCTGGTAGCGGCTACTTGTTGCCGAAATATTAATTAGGATCCCTAACCGTGTCAATATGTGCCGTGCAGCTGGCTGGCGGGCTCGGGGCGGCTGGGGTCGACAAACCCCTTTCCCGGGACGATGCAAGCTAATTGCAACCATGACGGTTAAGCAATAATGGAGAACCCGACCGCCAAGAATCGTCGCAGTGGGGCTGGTCTGTGTACTTACGGTGAAATTGTTGAACTCGGCGTATCCCCAGTGCAATTTCCACTGAAACAGAGCAAAATAGAAGCTTTGGTTATTTTATTTTCTTATGTATTGAAGAGACATTTTGCACAGAGTACAAACCCCGATTACAGTTTCTGCGATCAGCAGCGGAGAGGAGGAGGCACTGTGAAAAATTGTCGTAGCGGGTACAGGAAAATTTTCCATTGAAGAAGTCGTACAGTTACAATTTAAAATTGTAAATTTTTTAAGCCCACTCTTTCGACTTGGAATCGAATATCGAGCGAAAGTGGGAGGTTGTACATGTACGACTCATTTAGTAAATGACAAATTACATAATAGGTATATAGGTATATCGTACATGTACAGAAATATTTTTTACAGTGAGGAGAAGAAGGAGGGAAAGACGATAGTCCCACTTCCCTGGCGCGATGAGCGTTAGGCGCGACTGATTCTCGGCCTGGCAGCTCCAACCAACACCTTTCAGTGTTTTACAAACTGAATCCTACATTGTGCCGTCATCCCCACCCTACCCGCCTTAGCGCGGCGCTCTGCAGCACCTGCTTCTTTTACTTTCAGTGGAGGCGCTGCTTGCTCCAAATTAAAGAGCCCCCTCCCTGTAATTTATAAGTCACCGAAATGAGAGGTGTAACCACGCGCCAGGGAAAAGAGAGGGAAGGGGAAGGGCGTTGTCTAGCGCTTGCGGATCACGAACCAAGAAAACATGCTCGGGAAAATGTGAAAGATATGACGATTGGAACGGAAACTATAATAATAATAATAATAATAATAATGGTAAAACACATAAAAGAGCTCCAAAATTGAGGCAACATGGTGTCACCAAACGCCGCAAGTTACTGTACAGCTTTCACTCGCGCTATCCCTTCTCACCCCCTCAACGCTCATTGGTATGCTGGTTGCGCTCGCCCCCTCCCTTTCCCCTTCTCTTTTCTCCACAGGCCTCTCCACTCGTGTCCCTGGGCTCGGCCCTTCACTGTCTATTTCTCCCTATTTCTGCTGTTTTTAGACAGTCCCCAAGACCGTCTCTACCGGAGGGTAAAGTGCCCTCCTTCTTCGTCAATCTTTTTTTTTTTCAGATAGAAAGAGAGAGCGAGTGTCTGTAAAGCGAAACAGCTGCTCAAATACCAAATTATGATTTTTAAAAACTTAGTAAGTTATGTACATTAGCGAGCTTCAAGTCTGATTTGACGTTTACGCAATGCTCACCAACAACAACTTCGGATGTCGAGGAATCTTTTCCAAAACTGACGAAAAACTCCAATATTTTTAAAGAGACTCCTCAAAATCTGAGGATATTTCTCAAACCAGGGGAGAGGATTATTCCTCAAAAGTTTTTCCTTCCCCCCAAAAAAGAGACATCGTTTTTACCGTGCAGTTGCACACTTTCTTTGTCAGAGAATGAGTTGTACCATTGTTTTCCTGAGGAAGACACAGAAGCACAGAAAGAGTGCAAGCAGCCCAGAGGAAAGGCACAAAAAATATAAAATAAAGACGAAACGGACCATAAAGTGAGAGACTCGCTGCAGTCAGTGGTCGTCGCGTCAGCGAGCGGCAGCCTGTGAGCAGCCGATCTGCTGATCTGTCATGCGCCGAGGTCTGGTCTGGACCAAACTCAGGGATTTAGCTGTGCGGGGAGGAAGACATATCAGCCAAGATACGCCCCGGGCACGCCATGCCATGCCGGTCCGCACCGTACGGTCCACGCCGACCAGCGCACGCCGGATACACTCGACGGAAAACAGGGTGGGCAAATAGGAGGGGGGGCG